ACCTTTTTTTACTTCATCCTCCAGTCATTATCCATGTATAGCGCCTATGACGACCAGAAAAACGGTTTATTTTTCGTCCACATGATTTTCCTGGCCAAATCTAGCACAACATCCAAGAATTGAATTTGTATCGCACGTCTCTCGAAACTTGAAAAGAATGCTCCATTGCCGTGGGTTTCTTTGGATTGACAGTATCTCTGGAAAAAGTGTAGAGTGGTTACTTAATTCAAGCAACGTTTTATAGCCGAATTTTTCTGGTCATGCCTGATCTTGAGCAAAAAAACTGTTACATGCAATCAATATCATGAAAATTTCACGCGATAATGTCAATAACGTATTTAAATGTGTGCTACCGCTGACAACATCCATAACAAGTATAGGTTGCTTGGTACTCGAGCGTTTTGGAGTCGTGGACCGACCGGTATTTAACAATGTCGCCATGAATTTGTACGGTGCACCTTGAGTGCTCAGATTTTACATCACCAGGGAACGTGTTAAGTGAGCGAAATTACTGTGCAATGCCCCTCATGTCTGTCCCGCAGGACGATCTTAACGATTAATTGCGTTGCAGCTATTAGCTTGGGCGATTTGATGATATTGAATCATTAAGCATACGGAGAGGTCCAAGATCAAGTTCGGGAGATTACGGGGAAGCAGCACTAGTAGGCCAGGGATATAGTAAATATCTTCTCCTTTCTTACAATGCAAAATATTGGTGTCTTTCTTGACAGACTATGACATTCGTCTCCGCTCGTACGTCCAAGACGTGCAGTGGGCTCAAGTAATATCGTCCACTTAGATGTACTAAGTAATAACACAGCTACTGAGCCCCAACATACAGGTAGTTTAAAACTCGCTAGCTTCGAAATGTAAGGGAAAGCTGCAAAGGCAGCCGTCAGCTGTTCGCACTTTGGATCAGCGCATCTTAAGAAAGCATAGTTTCAAATCCTGCGTTAACCGTTTAGCCTCCACGCTCAGCGTTAATTAATGACCGCGTCAAATGCAATACAAACGATTTTGTGCACCGCAGTATTTGCTTATTACCGCAATAGAGCGAGATGGAACACCTCAGTCTGTTTGAATAAAGGCAATTATACTCAGTTTGTGAGACGTGGCTTTGGCTATGACAATGATTGGTCATGTATTAGGCTGCGTGTTTCGGTACGCGGTGCGAATTTGTTTGAGACGGTTGGTGCGCTATTCCTCGATTTGTTTTAACATGATGGATCCTGACTGATCACGTGCAATCAAATTATATCAGCATATAGAAGAAGATGTCGGATTTTACTGACGATGAAGATCGACAGCTTATTCAGTTGGCGCTTACATTCTCACGCAGCCGCCGGTACATTCTTTGGGAAAAATTGAAAGAGCGAATGAAAGGGACGAAAAAGTCCAAAGAAGCGCTTCGTCAGCGTCTTAAGACTTTAAAGCGCACTCACGGCCGCAACCTCGAGCAATTTCCAGCGTGGTTTTTTAAAACAAATGAGACTAGGGATAGTCTGCAGCGACTACATAAGTCTAGCGACACGAGTGCTTCCGAAAAGGACGATAACATGTTGACGGAGAGGGCAATGCGATGCGAATCAAACAAATTGGTGAGCGGTAAGCTCGAAAAAATTCGCTTTCGTTCCAAGAAAGTTACAAAGGCTAAAAACTCTTTGACTTTCAAAGAATCGCTACGGTCCCAGAAGTTTTCTTTTCGTACAAGAAACGAGCCGCTTGCTTCGCTTTTGTTGTTGGCATCGGTAGCCACCACTGCGATCTAAAACGATCGGGTGGACAGTAATTAGCTTTGATATTGAAATTTATCAGAATTATTTTGGTCCTATAGTGTGCTCTAATCGGTTATTGTGATTGTGATAGTCAGTAGCGCTGCGTCGATCTCACAAGGTATAAATACCTGTGACGGCTACTAATTTATGTGTCCCTTTTATCATTTCGATTGGGCTTGCTGGAATCATGGGTGATGAGAAGGATGCCACGATTGACACGACTACTTGGCCAATTAATCGTCTCAGTTTCGTCGAGCTAAGTGTACAGGATAGATCAACCATCGAACGACTTTTTCATAGTCGAAGTGACACTCCGTTGTTGATGAAGTGGGTGATGCTACACAAATCTGGGTCAAAGTTTCGTCCGAGAATTTTCGTCGTTTCTGCTCTTCGGTTGTGGGTTTTGAAGCACAAAAAAACAATTCGTCAAAAACTTATACTTTGCCGACAATTTCAGCTTATGCGTGTCCAAAAACTCGTTGCACTACGCACAGACCCTTCTTCCTCATCTCATAACAGAGCTTCGACAGTCTCCCTTCAGCTCTTTTTTTCACCAAAACATGCAAAAGAAAAGAATCAAGCTTCTGTAAAGCTATATTTTGACCCAGGAGTTCACGCAGAACACTTTGTACGCTTACTGCAGCGGCAATTTTTCGAACTTCGATTAACCTTTTCTCAACATCAGATGCCTCTGGTCAAGCTTCCACCAGATTACCATTGGTACGATTCTGCTCCGAATGAAAGCTTACTTGAATCTCATACTAAGCAAAAAACGGATGGAGTAGCAATTAAGAAACCAGATTTTGCTGCGATGGCAATGGCCTATCGTGCCTATTGCGACGATCTTGGTATTCAGTATCGTGACAGTATATCAGCTCGTTTAAAGGAATGTGCCACGACATCTGGATGCATAGACTTTCAATATTGTCTCGGTTTTCCGGCTGGAGTTAGTACTTTCGATCACCTATCAAATAACGTAGTTACTCCACTACATGCATTTGCCAGCTCAGTAGCTAGTAAATACTTTCCTGGATTACGACCAAACTATCTGTCGAAAGAAATTCAGGCTCTTGCTCGAACACTAAAGCACGCGATGTGTTTTAGCGATGTTATCATATGTGACCTTGCAATGGGACAAGCAAGCTTGGCTATTCTTTTTAAAGCATTGCTGTCGCCAGTGTGCACAATTACAGGCTTTACTTTCACAAACGTACAGTTATCAATTCGAGCGCTGCGTATCCTTCGACAAGTTGTGCTTGAGTCGATGACGCAGCAAACTGGTAACACCATGAGGAATTTGCAACTTCAGCGTCTGGATCTATCATTTAACCATTTTACGGCAAACATGGCTATCGAGCTATCAACTATTCTTCAACTGCTACCAAATGGCCTCGAGACCCTTCATCTTGAAAGGTGCGATTTGATGACCAATTCCTGCTGCCGTATCATCGGTGCTCTGACGACTAGTTCAGCTTTTTCTGTTTCCTTATTGGAGCTCAATATCGCAAGTAATCATCTTGGACTCGAAGGCACAAAAGCTCTTGCTTCCTGGATCACTCGAATATCATCTCTCCAGCGCCTTGACGTTTCCCGTACGCATCTCGACATCAATTTATTTGTACAAGCATTAAAGCAAAATACATTGTTGCACAAGTCTTCGCTTTTGCAGCTTGATTTATCGTACAACCACATGCGTACCCAAGCAAGTGAGGATCTTGGGGCCATTTTGGGTCAGTCGCAAAGTCTGGCGACAATATTTTTGCGAGGTATGAAACGCTACCGTCACTTTCACAAACTTTTGCCAATGCAGCTACAACGAGAAGGGACGCTTTTAGCGCTATCGAATGCTGCTGTCGCAGCACAAACCGCTGCTACTGGTAGAAATCGAGGCACAATTCACCGAGCTGACGGACTTCGCAAACAATATTTGAGTAATATTCTGGCACCGATGTTTGAAAATACGGATCGAAGCTGGTCTTGCATGGTGGATCTGAGTGAGAATGATTTAAGTGGTGGTCGAGCTGAGGTTCTGGCTCAACTTCTGGATGATTCGTCATGGTCCGCTCGAGTATCTTTACGACTCGACCATACTCGTCTTCACGATAAATCGGTTAGTACGTATTAGACATTTAATATGTCCTTCCCTGGCTAACTTCATTTGTGACTTCAGGCGTTACTTCTGCTGCATTCAATTCGAGGATGTAAGACTCTGGAATCACTTAGTCTCGAAGGTAATGGCTTTGTAGATCGCCAATCCCATCGAAAACGCCAAAGACGAACTGAAAAGTGTTATCGTGATGGTGTGATGCCATCTGAACCCAATATTATGGAAAAGGCAGGTGCCAATGCATTGACTCTCTTGCTAGGCGGAACTTTAGATTGCGACAATAATCAGCTCGAAAGCTGGTTGGGTACGAAAGATACTGAGTCGGCGTTTGCAGCATTTTCGGTTTATTCATCGAGTTTAAAGCCTTTGCGCTTGAAGGAGCTTTGTTTGAAAAGCGAAGGTCCTTTCATTTTTGGTACACACATCATCACGGCAGCAATCCAAGCTTTAGACAAGCCCCATGCATATTTGCAAATGCTGGATGTTTCTGGGAACGAGTGCGGCAATGCATTAGCCGAGGTCTTGAGGGATGTTTTGCCAAAGAATAAGAGTCTGCAGACGTTGTTTTGGGATGAAAATAATATCACTGTCGATGGTTATTGCCAGTTCTACGACGGGTTATTACGGAATCATACTCTGGTGATGGTACAAATGCCGATTCAAGATACTCGTCGGGTTTGTGGATGCAATGCTAGTGAAAACCTTGTTTGTAAGCTGATTGAACTTGTATAATCTGTCCAGATCCTGGAAGAGCAGAAAAACCCACCACGCGAAAAACTATTCAGCATTTTAGGCAAAATTTTTGAAATCACTGAACGAAATCAGATTTGGCAGAGGAAGACTGATGAGTTGAAAGCTGAAGCACGTTTCCCTGGACAATGTTTGAAAATAGAACCGAATACTCTGGTACACCCAATTCCAGGACAAACTCTGAAGCTTAGCAATAACTGCAGTGAAGCAGCTACAACGAGGACTGAGAGTTTCATTCATCAAGAAATCAAACTTGAACTCGAGTCAACTGGATTGAAATTGCAGCAGTGTCCTTCACCTAGGCTGGCAGAAGTTGAGAGTGAAAAAACCCAGAGCTTTGACAATCACACCCGCAAGAGTTACTCCAGATCGAAAGGTGCAAGGTATCCGTCGACAATGCAATCCTGGAGCATGCAAAGCAGCACAGAAGATTTTCGTACGCAGCTTAAGAAACTGGACTCATTAACCGCTTCAACTTCGATGTCATCATCCAATATTTAAAGTCATTTTGAAACTACCATCGAAGCATATTTATCAGTCCTGTAAGACACTATATCTTTTTACTTCCGCGTGTTTAGTCTTAGAAGAAACGAGTTTAAGCTACTTTTTACAGCAGCCACAGCGACATCCGGCTGAGTCTTTTTCTTTTTCTTCTTGCGTTTTGAAACGTCTAGTAGCTTTCGCGGTGGAGACGAAGGCAGCATAATTCTACTTGTAGAAGCAGTACTACTTTCCATCTCGGCAAATTGATCAGTGTCAGTAGTCTTCAACTTTTTCGATTTCGCAGCTGAAACAGTCACCGCCTCTTGCTCTTCTCGCATTCGTTTTCTTCTCTTAGACTTGTGTACTTTCGATGAACCTGGTCGGTCAATGACATGCTGACATCGCTGGCACTTTATCCTCTGTAAATCAGTGATGTCACAATCAGTTTGAGAATACATAGATCGAAAATGTATATTCTACTGATTCAACTTGCCAAAACGGTCGTCAAAGTTTCACGAACAAGGCGTAGACCATTGCTACGATTTTGCAGCTGAACGCGACGCTGCTGTCTGCTCAGTCGTCGATTAGCAGGTGACTGACGAGATTGCGGTATCACACGAACGCCTGCTGATACGCTAGGCACCAAAAGACCTCCACACTTCTCGCAAATATAGTCCAACACTGTTTGTGGTAGCTGTGCATGGTTGCATCGAGCTAATTGCATCATAGATGCTCTGCGAGAAAAAGTAAGTCCATGTGATTAGCAAGAATCGAATCCCACCCAGCGTACATCATATGATTGGCCAACACAGGGCTGGTCGGTAGTAGCTTGTGTGCTGTGCTCCAGAGAAAAGAAAAACGTTTCTCAAGTTGCCGTGTATTTTTAAAGGTCACAACTTTGACGTCTGGAAGAAGTAGCGCAGCTGGTATCATTGTCGACGGCGTGGACATGACAACGTTTATGGTTTAGCAGAATATTTCTCAAAATTTGTCAAAGCTACCGAATATTCGACTAGAGAATTATGTTTACAGCTTTTTTAAGCAGTTTTCACAAGATAACCAAAAGCTCTTCACTGTAATGGAGAACAGTATTAAGACCAACACTGCTCCTCCCGTTGACCTGCGTCAACTAAATTTTGCGTTCGCCAAGGTCACTATAGGTGGCCATCTCATCAACCGCTTGCAACATGATTCAACAAATTATCATGCAGATCAAGACGATGATCGCGTTTTACGTGATGTGAATTTAACACTTCAGCCTGGTCAGCGTGTTTTAGTGGTTGGTGGCAATGGAGCTGGTAAAAGCACGTTGCTCAGTATCTTGGCTGGAAAACACTTAACTGCTGATAATACGGCACTAGTCTTTGGGCGAGACAGTTTTCGTGATACGACACTTAATTGTTTAAGGACATTTGTGAGTGCAGATTGGGGTCAGCGAAGTGTGGCTTTCGCTTCACACGCTATGGCGTACTCGGCTGACATGGCCGTAGAGGAAATGATGGTCAAATTACAAAGCGAGTTTCCAGACCGCCGTCAGCAATTATTGAAACTGCTGCGTATAGATCCGAAATGGCGACTGCATCGCCTTTCAGACGGTCAGCGTCGTCGAGTGCAACTCTTTTTGGCGCTATTGAGACCATCTCAGCTCATTGTGCTGGATGAAGTACTTGGAATGCTTGATATCATTTCACGGGAGAACGTTCTTACATTTTTAAAAGAGGAGACGGAACAACGACAGGCTACTGTATTACTTGCTACCCACATATTTGATGGTACAGATGTCTGGGCGTCCCATGTCTTGTACATACGATGCGGCTCTGTGGGCTTCTTTGGTTCTATTGACCAATGTACTGATGGTTTGACGGTACCGATGTACAAGGTGGTTGAGCACTGGCTGCGTGAAGAATTGTCGGAAGACGATTGCATGGAAAGTGAGGCTGTGGGCGCATCCGGTGACTTTGACCTGAGTAACGCACAAAATCGTGCTGGTGGATATGCCGCAGGTCGACTTGGTGGAGTCGATATTTCATTACTTTAAACGATAGATGGATGCTAAAGAGATATTTTGGTTTGTGGGTCTACATAAAATTTGTAGTCTTATTGACCGAGGACATTTTTCTCAATAGCATACCAACACTTTTTATTATTTTCATCAGCTACTGTTGAAGCAGGTGCTATACAGCGTAGGTACATCAAGCCTTCGTCAGTATGCAGAAATCAATGTACTAGTACTATCACATGGTCCAGTCTGATACCCTCGCAGCCTAAGTGGCAAGTCATCGCAAAAAATTGCTCTAAAAACTGTAAGTTTTTAATTCTATGCTGAAGCTGGTGCCTACCCGACCATCTATCGATGCTCATGCTCCTATCGGCTAAATAAGAAGGTGAAGAACATATAACAGGTTGGTAAAGCTGACGGCGAACTGTCCAAACGGCTTGTTCAGCAATGATTCTTCCTAATAGTCGACGCCACGTTCAACAAGGTATGGGCACTGACGTGCGGCACTTCGGTCGAACCTGCGTTTCCCTCCTGGGCAGAGCTAAAGCTGCAAATTATACGAGTGTTTTCACCGCCTAACCAGGTGTATCGCGCGCAATCGCGTTTTCTTGTTACCCGCAGATCCTCTCCCCGAGGCGATCGCAGTGAACGTCAATATGGAGGGCTTCGCATTGGTGTGGCCAGAATAGAAGTCTTATGTGTGCATCTGTCTTCTTTTGGAGAAACTAAAATGTGGTATTGAATGCCAAATTCAATATCAAGGCGGCACGACTTGGTTGGAATGCACACCATCAGAGCTCGTTGAGCGGGCCTGAGCCAATGGATCTCAGCAATGCTGAGAAGGAGGAGGGGGAGTTCCGAGCTACTGAGCAGCGTGTAAACACCCGACAGTGTTTTGCCTGTGGAGACACCCATCACGTTCGGGCTGGTCCCCTGCGCAAGGCGCGTTAAAGTTCGTCGAACCAACGTCCCGCTTATAATTAGTCTAGTTTGTCGCAGGAACACGAGAAAACCTAGTAGGCGCGGGGCGTCCTGCTGGGGGAGAACTGAGTTTTGTTGTGCCTCAAAAAAGGTAGAGGACTGCAGAACCCAGCTTCGAAAAGCTTCGTGCTCTTGAAATCGGAACGTGTGTGCATGCCGGGCTTACTGCCGTAAAAGCGACCTTGAAGGGCTTAAAGACGCCGTAGAAAATTCTTGTTGATTTCCGGGGGGTCGGGCAAATATGCTTGCATTCCACGATCGAAGAAAGTCAGCTGCGCTGAAAGCGCGATTGAATGACACTTTCACTGATCGTTTAGCGACAGGGACTTGTGTCACTGTGCCGAAGATCCCTGTGGACCTCGGTGTCAAGTTTTTTACTTCGATAGCGTGGAACACTGCTTAGTCTTAGACTTGGATGCAAGGTATTACCTTACCCTTGGTATGGCGTTGTTGGAACACCGTGAGCCATGGATTAAAAGGAGGTCGAAGACCTTGGGCGCTACACGCACGTCTCCTAACGGTGATGTTGTGAGTAATGAACCCACCTCTGCTAGGAAGCAGAAGCGCTATTGGCGCGGGCACTGGACTGAGACGGTCAATATGCCAGATATCGGAGTATCCGAGTTGTCAAACACCGAAGGTGTATTGGACAGGAGTTTCGAGCGTGGCTCGCGGAATGTGGAGTGGTATGTAAATCGCTGAGCGCTGCTCCAGTACTGAAGCGGTCGCTGCATGCCATGCGTGGTATGGTCAGCCAATGTCCGAGGCATCGAGAGCGAGGCCCCAGTGATGCATTTTGAGTGGCACGTAGACCGCTGAGCACTACTCACGTTTCAAAACCGTTGCTGCATGCCAAAAACGGTATGGTCGGACGAGGTCTGAAGCATCCAAGGCAGGGCTCTTCAGATGCGCATGGACGTTATCCAGTGGACTAAGACTTTGGAACTAGCAGCTCTTCGTCGGATATCGATAATAACATTAAGCTCCAGTGGAGCAGACACTGGACGACGCTTAGCGCGTATTCCTACTAGTCTCAACGCGACATAAAACTTCCGTCGAGAGGCAACGGCGACATCGTATATTATATGCAGGACGCAGGGCGTCGATCCTGATCCAGGGTGTGTCTACCGTAGACGATAGCGCATAGCTATATACCCTTGTCAACGGTATGATGGGAGAGGAAGACGGCGACGTCACCCTCAAAGCTATTCCCGTTGTGGATGCTCTTCTTGAGCTGGACGAAATGTCCTTCGAAACGTTTTGCGGTGCCTTGAAGGCAAGCAATTTAGCTGAAGGGGTCATTTAAAGACCAAAGAAGGAATTAACTCATCGTCGCTTCTGGGTGAAGCTGTCCTGAAGAACACTAAGTGAATGCTGAACGCACGAAGTGGATCGTCGATCCTACGGAATCCCTCGGATCCGTAGTATCCTTTCGTAAAGGAATTTCAAGAGGTCATCTCCAGAGACTCGCCGTCGGCGCTACCTCCTGACCGAGGTGTACGTCACGAGATTGATCTGTTCCGGAAGCCAAATCCTGCGCAACACGCCAATGGCTCCTGCCCAAGGAGCAGTGCGACGTCATTGACGCCTTTTCCGTGCGAAGCACGACGCAG